TTTAAAAGCAAAGAAGAACCATATATCTAAAATGCTTAAAAACCAATGATCTTAAAGAATATATTTTAAGGGACAGCAATTTCCACTGAACTGAAATCTTTATAAATTAGAAAGGAGAAAAGAGTTCACTGGGAACGTAATGTAATGTAATGTAATATATCTGAAGTTGGAACTCCTTTTTTTTAGTTCTCATTAGTTTGCATTTTGTCTTGGCTCTTTTATTACGTTAATTAATTAATTGGACAGATATAGCATAGTTTTGTTGCTCCAATTCAACCAGATTCATTCCACAATTTAATTTCACAACTCCCATGAATTAGTCATGCCATCTGTAATTCCGCTTGGAAGTTCCTCCGGCTCTTGGATGTGCTTTTAGATCCATTTCTCCACTGTCTCTACACCTACGCTGAGTCACAGAAGTCTCGAACCCGCCTGCCCCTTATACCGCTCCGCTCACCTGTCGTCTAGCAACAATTCAGGGCTCATTAAAAATTGCGCTCAACCCAATTCCATCAACCAATTAAGCGTGGCCCAGCAGCAGCAAAAAATAAGAATACAAAAAGCAAGCTTGACTCATTTACAGTGACTATATGTTTGGATCTTTATGTTCCATACATATTGTGTGTGTGTATATTGCGACTTCTTGGGGCTCATCACTCGCTTCCTGCTCAGTTCAGGCGGTCAACCAGCCCAAAGGCAAACGCAAAAAAGCGTTAAACAAATAACAATAACAAAAAAGAAAACAAAAAAACACAAAAAAGAGTCAACAACCACGTTGGTATGCCTTTTGAAGCCGTTTGCCGGTTTATTGTTTTCCTCTTCGCTCCCAGGGAAAATTGTTTTCATATTTATTTTCGTGCCGCTGCAAAATCTTTGCCAAAAGGTAAACAATAAAGTGCCAACAACAGTTACATGACTAAACAGCGAAAATCATAAAAAATATCAAAAGCACTTTTCACCACCAAAAGCTCAGACAGAAATAATTGTGCGACAAGAAATGGAGACGGTAAAATTGGATTATAAAATGAAATCACAGGGAGAAGTTAAAAAATGGGAAAGGGTATATTTCATAATATTTAATATTAATAATTATAATACTAAATATTTAAATGTTCCTTAAAATTATAAAAATATAAAGAACAATTGAAACACCTTTTGTGAAATTTTAAGTTAGAAAACATTTTTTTGAGCATAACATGTATCAACAATTAAATGGCATTATAAATTTATATAGAAGTAATTTTCGGTAGAGAATTCAGTTGTTTTGTCTTATTATTTATTTATTAGTATATTTAGCTATATGTTTAAGTTGTTTCTGGCAAAAGTGTCACAGTCTTTAAAAAACCAAGCTTAAGTTTAATACAGAAACAGAAGGGAAGCCACAGAAAGGCAGATCAAAGCAAACCGGGTAAAAGAACTAAAATAGCAATCGACCGAAAGAAAAAATTGCAGAAAAATAAATAAGGTGTGTGCTAAGGTTGTGTCATGGCTAATTGTTGTTTTTTTATTTTTCGTTATTTTTATATATATACTTTTATTTGTTTGTCTGCTTTGTCTTGTCATTTATTGAGGTCTTAGCTCTCATCTGCTAATTTACTTAGGCGACCCATTGAAGATATGCTTTTGTAGTTCTTGACTTATTTACTTTGTTATTGACTTTCAATTAGGCGTCGCCAAAACACAGAAAAATGATAGTACACAAGACTATTATTTTAAAACTTTCTTAGAATGAAAATTTATTGGTTAAGATGACAGAGAAAACAGATTTTTAAACATAATCAATTGTTTTGCTATTAATACAATTATAGGGTAAACGATTTATTAAGTGTAAGCGCTTACAATTCGTTCTTATTGGAACTTTAGACCTTCTTTATATAATTTATTCTTTTTACCAGTTGTCCAGGGGATCTCATCCTATTAAACATTTGAGAGAGAGAGAGAGAGATGCTTACTGTAGATCTTGATATTTCTCTTTGCATATACCGGTTCAGGTGTTTCCTCCGGAGGAACTTCAGATTAGTTATTTCCCCCATCGCCTATATTTATTTTTTTCCAGCCTCTGGCCGTTTCCGTTTGTTTTACAAACCCACTGACCCCGAAATGAATTGAAATAAAGCACACACACTCCGAAAAAAACTGCAGCCGGCAACTAGTTTTGCAACATGAACTACAGGTGGAGGGGGTTAAGGGTGATGCGAGGTGAGGTGAGTCTATTGCTGCAGGTGCCAAAGCAACAGCTGCAAAAAAAATAAAAACATCACCGAGGGAAAGAGAGAGAGAGAGAGGGAAGGAAAGAGAGGGGGAAAAACACCTTTTAGTTATGCCTAGGCCAGCAACAATTTTACATGTCCCAGACCCACTTTGCGGGGTTTGGTGCTTCTCAGAAACGTTGGTTACTCTTTTGCATCTGTATCTGTAGATGCACAGGTGTGTAACATTACAGGTGTAGCTAGCCAAAAAAAAAATCAGCATGCAACAGCTCAGAGTAACAAATAACAAAAGTTTACATGAATTTAGTACTTCAGTACTATATCTCTTACTTGGTTTAATTGGGTTTTAAAATGAAATAAAAACTGTAGAGGAATCTTCAAAGATTGTCATATAAAAAATCAAATGTACCTAATAAAATTCAGGATATAGTTAAAAAAGTAATTTTTTTCAAATAAAATATATATTTTGATGACCTCACCTGTGCTTGTATCTGCATCTGCAAATGTATCTGTATCTGTTTCTGTGTTTCGTATTTTGTTGTCTTCGTACATTCACCTCTTTTTCCTCAATGGGCTTTGTGTTTTTGCTTATGTGCCTTTTTATTGCGGTACTTCTCGTTTGGCCTTCTCTATGTTTTCGTGTCTCTTCCAAGCGACACTTTCTTTTGTTGCGGTTTTCCGGCTCGTTTTTAATTCGTTTTATTATCTCGCGTCTCGCGATCTTTTCGGGCGCATTTTTCAGCCCAAATCAGCAGCAGCAGCAGCAGCAATTACGACACCACTTTGTTGGTGTAAATGTCACCTTTATGTCTTTTTAATAATGTGTACAACAATTACAGAGTCTGTTTGTGTTCGCTTACCTGGAAGTTCATGCCGTCTTCCTTTTTGCAGAAGCAATTTAAATATTTTTCTTTGCCCATCAGTTGGAACGAAATGGTTTTTCCCTTGTGTGTTCCAACATTTTGTATAATTTGTTAAAAATGTTGACATTCTTTTGGCATGGGAAAATCATAGTGGTGACCAGATAATAAAATTAATTTTTAATCGCTTACCGATGGCAGACTTTTGATAAGAGATTTAATGTGGGAAAATTCATGTGAATTTCTTAGTCGTAACCCCATATTTTGTGTTTATATTCTTCGTATAAGTTCAGTAAATTTATTTAGTCTTAAAACGAAAAGATTTACAGTTTGTTTTGAAGGAACTTATAAGAGATATCTATAAAGTCTGTGGTCAATTATTAAAATATTTCCATGACATTTCCCTTGTTCATTGTCTTTGAATTCCGATATTAAGGCAACCCTTTCCATTTAAGCCCGATCAACCCTGAAAACAAATATCGGCCTTGGCAACCATTGAAATGCAAATTGGGAAACCAAAAACGAAAAATACCCAAACACTTAAACAAACCCTTTGTTAATGGTTACGCCTGAATGCAGCAAGGACTCCTCAACTCCTCAACCACACCTCTGGTTAGTTATTCGATGCATACGACTCCAGCTGCTGCTTGAGGACACAAAAGTTCGAAATGCAATTCCCACTGACAACGCACGCCCTCGCGGAAATTGTGGAAATAGCTTCACTTAAACGGTTACCATCCATCCCATACCCATCCTCCACCGCGAACCCTCCTTATAGAGAGCGACGGCTCTGTAAATCGACAAGTTTCAGTGCACAGACGACGGGTTCCCTGAAGCGGAACCGTTGACGGTTATTAAACTACCTTTACAAGACGGAACAAAAACCGAACCCCGCGGAAAGAGAATACCAGCACAACAGATAGCAGCGCAAAAGTTTAAAGAACTCGAGAGGAAAAAGAGGGTTGGAACCGAATAGTTTAGTTCAGGCATAGTTCCGCTGTTTGACATCACTTCTTCTCTCTGAAATAGCTTTACTGAACTTTGAACGTTACCTACTCTACCCACGCCCCGGATAGCATATAACATCTTGAGGTTATATTTGTACAAATGCACTGAAATTTTCTGCTTTGATGAAGTTATTTGTTTAGGGTCGCTGAGCGCCGAAAGTCGGTGGGGGAAATTCTGGTTAGATATGATCTTGTAATGGAACTTTTAATTGGCTCGTACGAAAGACGGTCGATTGTCAGATACTTTTGTGGTAGATGACATGTGGTGGAGAAACCCAGAGTTTTCCTGTCTCTCGATCATAAATCAAGACAGAGTTCGTTTATTTTGTTACCCCTGGAATGCGCACTTCGAAATTATGTTTCTATTAAAATTTGTATTTTGCCCTGCCCCTGAGAATTAATTCAAAGCATGTTTCCTAAAATTCATTCATTCATTCATTTATTAAGCAAACTTTGTTTGGATTACCTCATCATAGTTTGTAGGTGAACAGACGAGTATTACAATGTCTTCCTTTATACTCTCTGCCCTCAACATGATCCGTCGGTGTTTACATTTGGCAACGGAAATTTAATGTTTGCCACATCTGCGCCAACTTTTTACTTTTCGCTTTCGGTTCTGATTCCGCCTCTCCATTTACGATGCTTTCATGGAAGTTGTAAACCCAGAATCTAATTTATCAAATGTTCCTCCTGTCTGTTTACAGATAGTCAAAGCCTCCTCCACACACAAAGCGAAGACAAAAACGACGTCACACTGGAGTCACAACACGGTAAACGGTCCCAGAACTAAGAAGACGAAGACGACCCTTCCCTTCCCCTAATACAACCTGTACAGTATGTCACATGATAAGAAGATGTTGGATCGCGAGGCAGTTCGTTCAGTGATACAGCAATGGAATGCCAATCGATTGGATCTCTTGCGCTCTCCGAGCCAGACGAGGTGAGTCCGTCTACATGAAGTACATATGAAATGCATTAAATCATATTATATTTCCTACAGAACCTGCTCTTCCATGGCGTTATGCGCTTTTACTTCCAAGATGCTGGCCAGAAAGTGGCCACGAAATGTATTAGAGTGGCGTCCGATGCCACTGTCACAGATGTCATAGGTAAGTAACTAAAGAGTTATGTGCATAATCAATTGTTAATCCTTATATCCCTATATCTAGACACACTAATCGAGAAATTCCGTCCCGATATGCGGATGTTATCCGTGCCGAATTACGCCCTGTACGAGGTGCATGCCAATGGCGAGGAGCGTCGTCTGAATGCCGACGAAAAACCGCTGCTGGTGCAGCTCAACTGGCACATCGACGATCGTGAAGGTCGATTCCTGCTGAAGAACATTGATCAGAAGACCACCGTGAGTTTGTATTGCTCGCCAATCGTAAATGAATTTCTTCTAACGTATTCTTCTCGTCCCCTTAGCCCATCGAGCAAACAGATCTAAACTTCAAGCGCAAGCTCTCCAAGCGCGAGAAGAAAGAGCAGAAGAAGAAGGAGAAGATGGCCAAGCTAAGCTCCGACCCACCCACCTCCAATGGCAGCCAGTTGGGTCTGGGCAATGGCATAAGTGGATCCGCAGGGTCAGCCCACATGAACGGCAATGTCGGCGGTGGTGGAGGCGATGGCAGCGACGCCGTAGCTGGCAAACTATACACGGAACTGCCGGAAACCTCGTTTACGCGATCGATCTCAAACCCGGAGGCCGTGATGCGACGGCGTCGACAGCAGAAGCTGGAAAAGAAGCTGCAGCAATTCCGTTCCAGAGATGGCGGTCCTGACACGGGCGGTACCCTGAAGATCTACGGCGAAAGTCTCTGCCAGGATGTGCCCTATAAGACACTGCTCCTCTCCATCCGGGATTGCGCCCAGGCTGTTGTGCGGGAAATGCTCACCAAATATGGATTGGAAAAGGCCGATCCCCTGCACTATTGCCTGGTTCAGGTGGGGAATGCGTTCATTTGTAATATGGGTTGATACAGAGTAGTTGAGAGTAGGGCTCAGTTATAAAATTTGTATCCTAGGGTATTTTTTATAACCATTAAAAATTAGCTTTCATGGTATTATAAGTAAGCATATAACTAAGCATTTAAAAGTCATTCCTATGCTTATATAAGATGATAAGATATACATTTTCCAGAACTTTATCAATAGCCGAGTCGATCTATCAATCCGTCCTTCAGTTTCTCCGTAAAATAGTCTTTAGGCTTAGAACTATCTGATGAATCTCTCCAGATAATCTTCTTTCTGCTGCAAGTTTCTCAAAGTTTAGTTTAAAGTCAAACCTTAAACGACTGTTAATATATAAATATTTTAGAAGTACAAGGGTACCAAAAATCACAGAAATCTTCTACATACCAAAGATGATCTTTTTAAAAGTATAACATTTTGTATCATTCAGCAGTTCATCTGGCACTCAGATATTCTAAAAATTATCATAATTAAACTTATTATAAAAGAAATCTAAAATTATAGAGGAATGTTAATTATTTTCTCTACAATACTCTGTATCAATGTCCTTTCAAGCATCGAAATTAATTATAAATTTTCCCATATGCAGGTCAACAGCGATGGAACGGAATACATACTCGATGACGACGAGTGCCCGCTATCGATACTCATGAATCACCCAACGTCGCGAGGTGAGTGCTCTCCTTCCTGTTCTTTTTTTCTCCTGATTTCCAACCATTTAAAATCAATTTTCTTTTGTGGGGGAATTGCCACTTCATTCATAAACATGGAATACCCTTGGCATGAAATTAGTCTTGTTTTATCAATAATTATGCTCCCTCGCTCTCTCACTCACTCAATAATTGAGTGACTGACTGACTGACGGTAACTTCCTATCAACAGCAACAACAAGCACCAAACAAGTTGGCGGTGTTGCTATTTTTTTTGTTTTATTTCATACTTTCGGTGTAGAAAAATTTTATCAATCAGTTGTGAGCTGGCATTTCGTAGCGTTGCTTCGGAATTTGTGTTCTTTCGGTGGTTAATAAAAGCTATTAAAAAATATTAAACTTGAATATAATAAACCTAGTTTCAAAATAAAAAGAACCCGTTTTAAAAAGTATTAAAAAAGGTTAATCTATTTAAATTAAAAACTTGTAAATAAATCTAATTCTGTATAAAATTAATCTAAAACTTAAAATAAAATTATAATATTAAAATGAAAGATGATTTTTGTGAAAAAATACGTAAGTGACTAGCAGAAGGCAATAACTTTCTGCCGCAATAATTCTTATGAATAAAATGTCCATTCTTATCGTTTGAAAACTTAACATTACGTTTTAAAGCACCAAAAATGTAACAATTTATTTCAGTTTTGAGTTGATTTATTGCCGAAACAATATTTTCAAAATAAATTTTCGGTTAGGAAACTAGGAAAATAAACTACTTATCATGTTCAACAACCTTTTAGTCAAGACAACATCCTAAGGACATATCCTAGGAAATAGATTGATTTTTATATTTTTGTTTTAATTAGCAACACGCTACTCATGTATGTACTGAAATATAAATTATTATTTACATCATTGTCCAAGGATATATTTTAAATCAAATTGCTTTTAATTTCACGCTTGTGAGCTATTCCAAATGGAAAAAAACCTTTAAATTTATATAAAATCCTGATCATAATTGTGGAATCCTACTTTAAAATTTCCACCGTTGACCAGTCCATTAAACATTTTAATTTAAATAAAATGTTTCTGACCTAAGCGCAAGCGCAGCAATGGAAGGGCATAATAATTGAGGGCACCAAAAAGCCTATAGAAATGAGAGAGAAGCACAATGGTTTTTGGCCTAAAAGGCCCAAAAATAAACAAATACACAGACACATAAAACCCGCACCGACACCTCCAAAATTAATTTGGCAAAATGTTATACTCTATACCCAATATATTTATACATATGCATATATATATAATAAGAAAGCAGACCCGAGAACACTGTGGAACTCGCCTTTAAAGAAATACCAAACGATTACAAGACTTCAAGAAAAATTTCAAAAATCGGAGAATGTAGTTTTTGGTTTAAATAATTATTTAAAATCAAAGACAAACCAATGGCCCAATCTATTTAAATACGATCTGTTGTTTAACGTCTTAGCAACTATATTCGTCAAAATATTTTTCTAATACTTCCGCATAAAATATACAAATGTTTTTTGCTTGACCTAAGGCTTGACATAATGTCGATACCCTTGCAATCACTCAAACACCGCCGCAACAATAACTTAAGCGACGATCATGAATAACATTAAGAAAGGCAGCAGGCCCACAAGGAAAATAACATACAAATGTGCAAATGTGTATTTGGGCATATGTAAATACAACTTGGTGCGGAATGTTTGACGCAATCATCTAACAGAACACACACACGAGCCGCAAAAAAGGAAGCCCCACTGAGTGCCACAGTGCACTGAACAAAATTCAGACGTTCTATTGACATACAAAACAAAAATAATACTCTTAAAAATTCAATGAAATTGATTTAAATTTTAGTTGTACAAAGAATACTTGATGAATTACATTTATTTAAAGTTTAATGACACGTTCACTGGGAGACTTAAATATTATGTTTAATATATAGAATATAAAATCTTTCAATATATTCTCTCTGTGTACACTGGCGACCTACTATTCGACCCGACCCGAAGTGCTCGTAATAATGACATTGGCTGCGTTTCCTTTTTGGGTGTCCTGTCGTCCCTGTTGCTTGGGATGTGAAATCACGACCACTTGGCAGCCGCCACATGTGCCTCTCTCCGTCTCGCTTTCTGTCTCTCTCTCTCGCTCTGCTTGTGTACACCTGTCTCTCTGTGAGGTTCCCTGGGGATTTTGAAGGTGTAAAATGTAAATTGCGACCGCACTTGCTCGTTGTCTTTGTTGTTGTCAGCTGAACGTCGACGTCGACGTTGCGCTGGCGTCGTTGGCGTTGCTAATTGTTGGTCCATTTTTTGTTGCCTACTTTTATGTAATGAAATGTTTACTTAGAGAAGCTTGAATTTTTCACTGTTGTGTTTTTATTTAGTCATTTTTGTGAGGGGTACAATCAATTTGGGTCAACATTTCCTGAGGCGACAAAGAAAATGTGGGTCATATCTGTGGCGCTCTTATCTCTAGATTGAGTAATCTCTTTTGGGTTGTATGATGTTTTAGGAGGTGGACCATTTGAATTTTGAACTCTTTATTATAAAAGTATATATATTTTTGTGTTACTTATTCTAAAGATAAACAATGGCAAAATAATGTAAAGTTTTGTATTTGATTACCACTAATGTTCATTTTTAGTTACCGCAAGTAGTTGTAGCTTTCGGGTACGTTTTTTGTTTCTTTTTATTTACCTCAATGCACTTTTCAGGTATTTTTATTTATTTAAGATCTCCAGTTGCCACCTAAAATGCTCTATATTCTTACTGCAGATAAATCAAACACAAAACACCTGCGGCTGATTGCTTAAGGCACAAACTACTTCAATCTCTTTCTATCTTTGTCTGCCTGCTAGTGTTTGCTCTTACCTGGAATTGTTTATTTTGGCTTTTATTATCAGCCACGTTTTTATTGTGTCTGCTGATGCTGCAGGCTTTTCTCTTTCCCAAAAGTCGGGCATTCGCTTTCTCTTAATATATATATTCAATATTTATTGCCGCGACAGAGAAAGAGAGATGAGCTTTTTCGGGTCTCTCTTCTCTCTCTAGATTTTATTTTGTCTCTTTCGCTCGTGCTCATCCTTTGTGTTTCGGTTACGTCCTTTTTGGTTTAATTTCCCTTTTATTTGTTTGGGTTTCAATGGCACAGTGGATAAATCCTGAATGTAAGGAAACTTTGAAGGTCCTTATACAATTCCTGTTGAATGTTTAGCTAATTTATTAACTATTAACTAGAAATCTTTTGCATTATATATAAATTTACATCTTATATATGTCATAAACATCTCAAATAAATGAAAAAAAAGTGCTTTCTTATGAAAATTCATCGCAACAGTTCAACTGACACCCGAGGCGTTACTTGTAAGCCTTTTTGAGAGG